CACACAGACAACCTCTCGTCAATATGCGTTTTCGCATTGCATTGCTGCAAAAAACGCATAAAAAGTACTTTTGCGATAAGATGAATGTTGAGAGAAGAACTAACGTGCACAGTCTGATGGGGCAGGAGGATTCCGGAATTCGGGAAAGCAATCAGGCGCTCCACAGCGTTTGATTTCAGTGCCCACTTGACTGGTGCTTTAAAATTGTTTGTAAACGCGACTATCACAGGGCCATTACGGTCACCACGAATCATGAGCTGAAAGTACTGAGCTAGTACAGCCACCATCAGGATTACCCAGGATGCAGACCACTCTTTCCAATTCTCATTAGCTTAGCGCCAATTGTTGCAGGAAGAGGCAGGAGATTTTGTGAGATTCGAACTTGATGACGAAGCTACTAGAAGTGGTATGGAAACAAGTCTGAGATGTGGAATTATTAGAGTAGCTAGGAGATAATGAAGACAGTTTCTCCTTCTCCCACAGGAACAGCACGTGAATTGTTAAATCAGCAAGTTACGAAATTTTTCTGGAAGCTGCTATTAATACACATTATTGTGGTGTGAATAACAGTCAAAAAATCATTAGTGAGAAGCTACTCTTGAAGACTGCCTAAATGATTGTTCGATTCATCCAAAGAGATAAAACTTTCTTCATTCTTCACTCTAGTAGAAGGCGGAGGATTTCAGAATAGCAATAATTCAAGCGGTAGAACCATGGCAGCAACAAGCAGACGCTGGCAGGATGATTGTTGCTCTCTTCCGAGGCTGCTTGGAAGCAAGCTGACGAATGTTCCCAGCATGTGCTTGTATTAGTTTGCTATCGAAACGAATCAGTGTGTTATAGAGAAACTGTTTTCTCACTGTTGGAATTGAACAATTACCTTCAGTGTGAGAATGGCGCTGCTTGTCACTATACGAATTTTACTGGCTTATTTCAATCAATTCACTTTAAAACCATAGTTTTGTACGTACATTCAGATTCGGGAGTGAAAACTACTTCGGAGAGATGTTGGCCAGGAAACTATACATCTGAATGTGTTCGCACGGGATACGAGGTGACTTGATCATGTAGGAAAGAAACACACTAAGGTCTTCATGCACCGCTGAAATTACCTCTGCATTTTGGAATAAATCCTGAATGCATTTTAAACACGAACAAAAATGAAACAGAGAAAATAACTGTAGAAAAAATGGCTAAGTTAGTTTGATGAAGAAATTTCACCTGCGATTCGGGATAAGTTGCTAATCCTTCGAAATCGCTTGAGGACCAAACACTCGTCTAAAAACATTATAAGTATATCACAAGCGCAGTAAAACATTACAATTACAAGTACATCTGCCCAGCACATTCATAAATAGTTCACTAAATTCTTAAAAAGCAATATTTTGTTCGCGATTTCTCCTTCAGAGAAGCCAGAGCACAAGATTGCAGTTCGAGTGATACTGCACACGCCAAAAGCATCCGATTGCTGTAAATTAGTCACTGACGGTTCCCTAGGATTGTTGTGAGGCAAGCAGAAGTTGATTTTCGCCAGAGAGCAGACTCAGCCGTTCAGCAACAATCAAACAAGAAAGTGAAGCTGAACGGCTTTCGACACACAAAATGTCCGAACTGTGTCTCACTGGTTCGCCCGTATGGTAAAATCGCGATCGCGTGCGACAGCCACTGATGCAGACGCTGCTCTCCATTTGAGGCAAACGCTGAGATTCGGCGGGCTACTTGTCATGGTCTTGAACTAGGCAGCGTTCAGTTAGGCAGTGAGTTTCACTTCAGCTGTTTGCTTAACATTTTCGTCAGTGCAAATTAAGTCATCCAGCAAAAAACAAAAGTATTTTATTATGCGCTCCTTGAAAATGAGTTCGAGTAAAACGCGCTCCCCTCTTCCTTGGCGATACTCGCAGTGTCGCGCGCAAACAGAGCACCAAAGATTTCTCAACAAACTCAACACTCTGTATTTCATTACTATTCTTTTCAAACAATACAAGAATCTCCGGAAAATATTCGGGATCTTCAACGCCCTCTGCAGAGTGCAAATGGTATGTGCCTACCGACAAGGAGGTGAAGCCGGCTGCAGTCTTCAGTGTTCCAGAGCGTTCTTTTCTTGCCGTACCCGTTTCCTCCTCGCTCGTCAAAGTGCTACTTTTCGTTATCGCTGTGATATATTGCGTGCGATTCAAATTCGCAGTGCTGAGGCCACAGTGATAGTGCTGCAAGCACGAAAAGTACTTTGTTTAAGCCATATCAAATAATTGAGAGTAAACCTAGTTAGTGGTCCTTGGAGCACTGGAAATTTTGTTTCCGCCAAATAACTACGTTCATCGGCAGGCTTGCTTTGTTACTAAGATAATTTTTATTTTAAAACTCTGCAGGCAGATGATGTACGGTCTTCATTTCAGACTTAGGCGGAAAACATTTAATGAGGGAGAGGCGCCCAAAAGATGTGAAGGTCACTTTTCCCTGCGGTCGAAGCAAAGCTAGATTTTTCTTGAACGAAAGTTTAAAATAACAGTGACAGAGTGAGTCCGTAAAAACGAAATGACTCGTCGCCTACGCATATTTTTAGAGCGATTGTGATTCGCACAGGCCTCCGTGAAAAAAAACATTACACCTACAGATTCATTTGGAACTGTTTTGAGAGCATCGAGTGTGGTCTCCCGGCATTCGGTAGTTTGACACGTCGTGTCGCTTGACATGCTGGTGTGTTCTACGCGACTGTTCGCTGCCCAGATCTTCGAGATGCGCTGTTTGCCCTGAAAGCATCAAAACGAATTTTTGGCTTGTTTGATTACATAATTTTCAGTGTTCGGTGCATTAACAAGTGCTTGAATTCAGATCTAAAAGTGCTTGAATTCAGATCTTCTCACCTTGTTCTCAGTGCTTTTCATCCAGTCGCGTGCAGCCCTGTGGCTGGAATTCTGAGAGACATTCACTGCCAGAAACTGGATATATCTCTAGGGTATATCTCCGCCGCTTTCTTTTCTGGCAGCTAATATCATCTATCTAAGGCGACAAACAATCAAAAATTACCCAATCAAATTTGATTTGATGCAGTTTAGAGCAGCACCGTAAGAATAAGAAATTATATAGTAATTGTCTCCCCTCTTTTCTAGCAGCTCCTCCCTTTTATCGGCCCACTGATCCCTTCACCTCTAAAAGTGCTTGAATTCAGATCTTCTCACCTTGTTCTCAGTGCTTTTCATCCAGTCGCGTGCAATATAATAGAACATCATTGAGAGCGACATCATTTTGAAGTAGCAGTAACCGATTACGCTTGCTCCCATACTATCGCATGCGAAGAAGGCGCCACACACAATCCAGTAAAAAATGATCGACTTCTGCAATGAACCTGTACATGAAGGAGGTTTTTTTTTACTGCATCAGATCTAGTCTGTACTTGCCACCATCACTTATCACTATTATCATTAGTTATGATCGTTTGGGCGGCATATCAATAATAATAGTGGAAATAATGATAATAATAATAATAACAATAACAATAATGATAATAATAATAATAATGATAATAATAATAATATTAATAATAATAACGGTAATCTCTTGGTGTCCTGAAATAAAAACTCGAAACAGAACTATTCCTGATGTGACAATGTTGAGCTGAGATCCTGGTTTGAGACGATATGAATGCAGCACACATTGAAAGGAGTTTTCCTTTTGACGAACGGCTCGGACGAACACAACACAATCATAACAATAACAATCCATCCCATTAGGGCAAACGGCTTTTATACTGTTCACGGTCGGGCAAGCGGGTAGCGCTGGCCGACCACGCTGGCTGGCATGATTCACCAAGGATCATGCCTGAATGACCACAAAAGCGCCGCTTTCGTGACACTCCGGAGGATAAAGAAAAAGTGTGTTGGTGCGAAGAGCTATCACTAATCCAGTTTTGATTTCTTTCCTACATACATTGACATTCTTAAACAACATTCTATGAGGACCGCAAAGGCAAGGGCTAAAATAAGTTCGATCACAATCGCGACGATGCTTCGATTCGGCACAAACCATTACGCGAAACTTGATAAACCGAGCGCCAACTGTACGTTTTGCTCGCCGATATCAAACACACGATGCGTCTGCATATGAAATTGCTTTGTTCCTTCAGTAACTTGCACTTCACGCACATGATTGTTAACACTTGATTGGCTTTCATTGATCTAAGGATTGTTTCGCACATGCGAGTTGGATGAGCATCGGCTGGACAATTGCAGCATCCACCCCGTTTGATTTGCCTAACCACACAAATTATTTCATCGATCCTTCTTGCAACCGTAGTCCTGTTACCTTTAGTCCCAAACTTCTTTGCTGTGGTTTAATAGTGTTCGCTGATTTCTCTGTGGAGACTTTAAAAAACTTCCCACTCTGGATCTGTAGACGGAGTTCGGGTCGAAATTCTTCAGTGTCGTTGCTGTTGCATAAACAATCGATTATTGTCCCCGGCTCGCAGACATAAGCAATTTGATTCAAACTGCTCTGGAGACTTTGAGCCGATACCATTCCAACGATTACTGACATCAGGAAAAATTTGCATGCGACTGACGTAGGTTTGTATTGCAACATACTGCTACTGGCTTTCACTTTATTGTCGTATTCATGATTGGTTATTTTGAGGGGACATAAGTGGTTGACAGGGCGCTTGATCTGACCTGTTGTCGTTTTGATAATTGCAGATCTTACAACATTGCCCACACTGGTTTCAACTTCGATTATTTTCCCTAATTGTCAGTATCCTCGTGGAGAATTTTTGTCATAAACATGCACGATTTCTCCAACCTTTGGTGTGTTAGCTTGTCACGTTCATATTCCTGGATGATAGTACTGATAAAGTTCTCTTAAACTGACAAGATATTCTCTATGCCAAAAGATCCAGAACTTGTCCAAATATCGTAATGAACTCTTCCAAGCTCGAAGTAGATTTTTTCTTAATTCAATTTGTTTGGAGTAACTATTCAATTCGGCTTCTTGGAATGCTGGTACACTGACGTCCATCCCCGGAAATAAAAAATCAGTTGATCGTAAAACATCTAAGGAATTTTCACTGACATAAGTTAATGGTCCTGTGTTTAGAATTGCCTCCACTTCTGGCAGAGGTGTTGCGAATTCTTCGATGCTGAGATAGTTCCTACCAATGGTTCTTCTAAGAATATTTTTTACCAGTCCCACCATCCTTTCATACACGCCAATTTTCCAGGGTGCTTTTTCTGTAACGAATTGCCATTGAATATTATTGGCCATTGTTTCAGTTTGTACTTCTAGGTGGCTTAGTGCTCTTTTCCGTGCGGAATCGATCGTGGCGGAGACTACTTGAATGCTGGTGCATTATCTAATGTTATTTCGGCTGGGTTTCCTCGTCGCGCTATGAATCGTCGAAGTCCGTTGAGAAAACTTTTCGCTGTCAGGTCGCAAATCAATTCCAAGTAAATTGCTCAAATCGTAAAGCACGTGAATACACAAATCCATTTTTTTTCCTTTTGTTGAGATGTTTTTATCAACACTGGACCTAAGTAGTCGAGCCCAACGAACTGGAACGGTTTGTGTTTCTGCACCCTACTTTCCGGATAGGGTGGAAGTGCTGGAAGTTGGTATGGTTTGGAGTCCCATTTTCGACAGTTCATACAGTCTTATGACACTTTTTACCGTTGTTCGACCTGCCGGGATCCAACACCATTGTCGTAGCATTGCTAAAGTGTGCACCAGTCTTGTATATCCGTTCCGTTCCTATTATAATTGATTCAGTTATCTTTAATTTGCGTGGCGGGAGGACTGGATACTGTGTACTTCTTAGCAACTGCGTTTGACTGGATACTGTGTACTTCTTAGCAACTGCGTTCGACTGGATACTGTGTACTTCTTAGCAACTGCGTTTTCGTCAATCTTCCCCGGCACCGGTAGATCCCATTTTCATCTACCCATAGTTGCAACTAGCGATGAAGCTGTTCATCGATCGCGTCTTGTTGGCTGCATTTTATCAAGTAAAGCTCTGCTATAAGGAGATCAGTTGTTTGTAATGTTCCATTACTTGAGGTGAGCTTTAGAGCAATTTGTCATTTCCTGCACTTCTTCGGTCTATCTTTTTTGAGAAATCAAAATACATGGGCTGTTACTCTGCGTAATCCGTCCCACGTATCGAAACGACTGATGTCAACGATTGGAGACGCTTTAGTCACCACTGACGCGATGACGTGGTGTGTTACGTCTTCCTCTTCGTCCTCTGCATCATGTAGCGTCCATTCAGGCCAGTCTTCTGGCTTTCTTTGAGAAATGCTGGTCCAGACCATCACAGCTCATTTTTCCTCAATTCGTTAGCAGAAACTCCCTTAGTGAGTAAGTTTGCTGGATTTTTGTTTGTCGATACGTAACAAAACCTTGCTCCAGAATTTCATATCTCTTTCAGTCTGTTCTCGACATACCACTGTTGTTCCTTCCTTGATTTTATCCAATGTAGAACACACTGTGAGTCTGACCACAGGTATCTTCTACTATTTCCAAGTGCAATTCATTACATGTGTATTTCAACAGTCTTGTGCCGATAAGGATTGCCAGGAGCTCCATTCTTGGAATTGTCAGGCCTTTTAGTGGTCGAAGGCGATTTTTTGACATTATTATAGTCGATAGCACCTTCTCCCCACAGTTGTTTCGTATATAAACTACAGCCGCGTAAGCGTTCTGTGAAGTATCGGCAAAACAGTACATTTGGAGACGACCGTACTGTTTGAAATATCGCCGTGATATTAAAAATTCTGATCCTTTCGCTCCTGCTAAATGTCTTTCGAATTCGATCTTCTTTGTTGACGGCAAACCTCTTCATCCCAACTACGTTTTTCTTGCCACAGTTATTGAAGAAACACTTTCATTGGTAGAATTATCGGTGAGATTAGACCCAGTCGATCATAAATCCCAGCAATTAAGGCAAGTATTTTTCTTTTGCTTAACGACTCGGTTCCTCTATCCTCATTTACTAGTTTGATATGTAGCACATCAGCTTCTGTATCCCAGGTGATACCGAGTACCTTTGTGATCCTTCCAGACTGGCGGTCGTCTTCTTTTATTGCTTGATTGATCTTTGAGTTATTCGACAGAAACTCCATCAAATTCATTTTTATGCGTTTTTGCATAATATGCAAAAACACATATTGTGGCGACCCCTAGTGTATGTATGTGTGTGTGTGTGTGTGTGTGTGTGTGTGTGTGTGTGTGTGTGTGTGTGTGTGTGT